ATCGCATGTCAGCGAGTTAGTTTTACCGTATAAGGACTGCGGGCTGCTGCTGGGAGAGGTGGAGCCAGAACTCCGGCTTCCCAGTGCCCCGTCTCCACAGCTTTGGAATCTTGCTTAATTAAACCGTCTTAAAAGTGGCCCGGCTAGTGGAAGGAGCTGAAGGCAGCCCCGGAGCAGCTGCCAGTTTTCTCCATGATGGATGCTTTGTGTGTAAATCGAGAAAGTTAAACACACAGCACTGGGTAGAAAACAAATGAAATGCTGGGTAATTGATGACTACAGGAATCCTGGGTCAGCTTCCATTTGGATCAGTCACTGAAATCCTTTCCAAGATGGTGCAGCTGCAAATGGAAACCACTTCCTCCAGCTTAGGAGCAGCGGTCAGGAATCAGTCAAGTTATTTTTCCAAGCATTTAACATAAAGCATCAAACAAGGACCCTTCCAGGATCTGTAGCCCAAAAAGTGTTTAAGAGTTACTAATTAAAAGCTAATTTAATCTATGGCAGTTGTGCCCAGACTGGGGACAATTCAGTGCACAAACTTGGAGGTTACTAAAGTAGGGCTTGATTTCCTTCAAAGAACAAGCATTTAAAGGAGCAGTGTAGTAATAACCACCATGTATTTAGAGACACTGAGTTGTTGATGTTGGCTCCATGTGAGCAGCTCTCCCAGCAGCCTCCATCTCTTATCAGGTCTACTTTTTAAACATTAATAGTGTCTCCAATTAGTCTGCAGTTTATTCAATAACATAGAAACAGATCTTCTTGTTAAGAACAGCCTTCTGCTTAATCCCTTAACTACTACAGGAAGCAGTGAAAAGGGGAAGTGAACTTATTTTAAGAACACACCTCATTTTTGCCCTATTTATGTTACAAAGCTGAGGGTCTCACCCACACTGAGGCCAACAGCATCTGCCCAGCTGGGCACATAAAGGGAATGAAATGGCTTTAACCAGGGGCAGGGGAATCTGCTGTGAGGTTCTTGGAACAATCCATGATGGAAACAGTTCAGGTTTTAACTGTGGAATCCAGCAGGGTAGATGCAGCACCCGGATCTGAAAATACTTCTCCATGGTGTTGAGTCCTTTGTTGTAGGGCAGGAATGATAAGTACCATTAGGAAAGAAAGGAGCAGCGCATACTTCATACCTTTAAATTCCTGAGATGCCTTTGTTTAAGCAAACGAAAAGCAGCCCTGGGAAACAGAAAGTTTCCTCTGTGTGCCCAGGAGAAGCCTGCCCAGGTTGAAGGGAACATGAGTTGAGAACATCGTCAGAGCGTGAGAGTGGCTTGTCCATGACCTGGGTCTGGTGGTTGTATTCCCAACAGGCTGAAGGGGAGGTGGCAGCTCTGAACAGGCGTATCCAGCTTGTGGAAGAGGAGCTGGATCGTGCCCAGGAGCGGCTGGCCACAGCCTTGCAGAAACTGGAAGAGGCCGAGAAGGCAGCGGATGAGAGCGAGCGGTATGGGCCCTCCTTCTTCTTTCTTGTAGAGCAGAACAATGTGAATCAAATACTCCTGTATCATATAGTAGCTGCATGTGCTAATTGTGGATGGCAGGTCAGAGACTCAGAACTTTCCTATAAGCTTGAACAAGTGATTCTGTTAACCTTGAGGAATGGGATGGTGTGGGCAGAACAGGATATTTTGGTTCTAAGTATTGAATTCTACGTAGTACCTTTGAAATAAAAGGGCTAAAATGCTTCTACATTAACCACCCTTGCTTTGACTTCTGCAGAGGAATGAAGGTTATTGAGAACAGAGCAATGAAAGATGAAGAGAAAATGGAAATCCAGGAAATGCAGCTGAAGGAGGCCAAGCACATCGCTGAAGAGGCTGACCGCAAATACGAAGAGGTAAAAGGGCTGAGGGAAGGATTAAACACACGGGAGGACCAGGAACAGCTTTGTTACTCTTCATATTACTCGCTCCTTGTACACTCCTCACTGCGTTCAGCTTGGGAACGTGCCCAAAAGGGAGCATTTTAGATGTTTAATACTAAAAATGCCACAAAAAATGTAACTTATTTGTGGAAAAGGCTGCCCTGGCTGTGTGTGTTGGTGTTAACCTGATTTCTTCAGTCAAAAGGGAATCACGAGCATGGTGCTGTGAAACACCTAAGGAATTCCAGCCTGGCTCTAGAATGGTCGTTTTCTCTCCACAGGTTGCCCGTAAACTGGTTATTTTGGAGGGTGAACTGGAAAGAGCTGAAGAGCGTGCAGAGGTGTCTGAAGTGTGAGTAATTTCAGCTACATGGAAGCAGTTTAGAGCATGGTGTATTTCAGTAGGAAAGCCTATTCCTGGTAGGCACGTGTGTCGTGTGGGTAGAAAAGCTGTTTTGTACTGTGTGCACCCAGTTTTCTCCATTCAGACTGATTACAGTGACTGCCTCCCTTGTATGTGAAGTTGTAACAGGGACAGTAGTAATTTTGTCTTCTTTTTTTCCTGTAGTAAATGTAGCGACCTTGAAGAGGAGTTAAAGAATGTCACCAACAACCTGAAGTCTTTGGAAGCTCAATCGGAAAAGGTGGGTTCTGTCACTAAATGAAGGGACAGGGGCACTGTTGGAGCTTGTACATAAACTAGAGGGACAGTGAAGGGCTGCGCTGCCCAAACCCAGAGCAGTCCTTGGGTGATTCTCTGCAACACAACTTTGAGCCTGTCCTTTCCCACACCCCCCCCGGCTGCTCTCAAGTTCCTGACCTTGCTCTTTTGGGGGGGGGGTTTCCCTTTTCATAACACTTGATTTCGATAATCAGGCTCTGGAAGGCTTCATGCTCTCACCTGTTCACCTCTTTCTGCGCTGCATGGGCACTTGTGCCTGTTAAAGGACAAGATGATAAGGAAGGGACGTGAACATCCCCCTTCTTACAATGGGGGTTTATGGATCGGAGTCTGAAATGTCTCTGGGAGGAGGAGGGAAGTGTGGAAGAGATATTTGCAGCTTGTGGAAAAGGAAAAGTGGTTATAAATAGGTCAGGGCTTCATAAACATGCGTTATTGTTGCTGCAGCTTCCCTTAAAGAGTGTTTATTGTTTTCACAGTACTCGGAAAAAGAAGACAAATACGAAGAAGAAATCAAGATTCTCTCTGACAAGCTTAAAGAAGTAAGTTTGTGCAGCCTCAAACTGCATTTTGGCACCATGCTTTTAACAGCATCCAGTTACTTGATTTCATTTTTTTCTAGGCTGAAACTCGTGCTGAATTTGCAGAGAGAACTGTTGCCAAACTGGAAAAGTCTATTGATGACCTGGAAGGTACGAAATCACTGGAGTTGCCTTTGAAAGTGGGCAGGTTCCAATCAAAACAAAATCCTGGGAGCGGGTGGTGGATTGTGTTGGGCAAGGACAGTGGAATGTGTTGGGTGTCAAATGTCCATCAGTGCCCGTAGGCAGAGGGAGTTCTCCTGATGGAGGTTCTCTTTTGAGAAGCGGCTAAAACTGACCCAGATTTGGCTATCTCAGATGTGGGGGTTCCCGGGCCCTTCTGGTGTAACTGAATCACAACATCCTGCATTTCATAAGTGAAAAACGATCAGGTTAAAGAAAGGGAAGTGCAGGGGAAGCTCCTGCTCTGCAGCTCGGGGTTTCCTGCTCTGTACTGTGCTGAACTCCGCATCTTTCTTTCTCTTGTTTCCCTCCCCAACTGCTTCCTCTGCTGCCTCGCCTTCCCTGCTGCACATCTCTGCTGTCTGCCTCTTCTCTGGACTGTTTTTCCACCTCTCTTGCTGCAACCTGCCTCCTGCCCTGGGGCCGATAGACGAGCTCTACGCTCAGAAGCTGAAGTACAAAGCCATCAGCGAGGAGCTTGACCATGCTCTCAACGACATGACTTCTCTGTGACCTTCACCTGGGCCGGGCGCTCTGCCCTCCGCGTCTCTCACGTTTTCCTTGCCTGTAAAACCTGTCCCTTCTGTGCAGCAGCCACAGGCGCCCCTTCTGCCTCCTCTGTAAGAACCGAGCTCAATAAAACCGAGATACCTCGACCTCTCCGCTTTGGGCTTTGCTTCTCTACAACTCTCCTACAACCCACAGCAGTGGCACTGATCATGGCACCAGCACATGCAAGTGGTGCCGGGGCAGGACCCCACACTTGGGGTGATGTTGAATCATTGCTCCTAAAGACACGCATAGCAGCAGAAAGCTCTGAGCGTGTCCAGTGTGTGCTGGCAGTGCTCCATCTGCTGGGTTAAACACCTTTGAGGCAGCAAAACCCCTGAAGGATATAAATCCCATGTTAATTATGGTACATGACATGTAAGACATGTACAAAAGCCTCACTGACAAAGAAATGGGTCCATTTTGTGAATGCAGTTACAGCGGAGTCCCAGACGTGAAGGTAAGTAATCCTGGGGTTATTTAAAGAGAAAATAACGTGGTTTAAGTCTTGGTTTTCCTTTCTTCCTAGAAAAACTCGCCCAAGCCAAAGAGGAGAACCTGGGCTTGCACCAGACACTGGACCAGACGCTCAACGAGCTGAACTGTATATGAAACGGTGCCAGACGCCCGCGCCGCCAGGCACTGCCCCTTCCACCCGCACTTCCCGCATCGTCCCCGCACCCTGCCAGAACCAATAAGTTATGGACAGTGCAGCTGCGCACGAGGCCTCGGTGCCGCCGCGCCCCAGGAACCAGCCCGGGCTCCTCCTGGGGCAGCGGCTGCCACCGTGCCTGCAGCCTGCAGGAGAGCGTGAGCCGCACCCGGGGCCGTGCACCCGCCTGGTCCCACTCTGTGCCGGTCCCTGCCAGCGCGGCCACAGCTCTCGCTCCCGGTCCATCGGTCGTTTCTATACAGCCCCGGTAGAAGCCGTCCCTGTGCAGTAGCGTCGCCCCCGCCGCGAGCCTCTCACCAACGTTTCATATTAAACCGTTTCTCACAGTTACTAACGTGTCTTCGGGGCCTCTTTGTAGCGTTTCCGTTCGGGTGACGTCACGCCCGGGCGTGACGTCAGCTCACCCGCCCCGCCCTGTGAGGCCTCTTCCGCCCGCAGCGGGGGCGCCGGCGCCGGGCTCTTCCCGTCAGAGTCGGCGGTGACGCGCGCCGGGCTCAGCCAATGAGGGCGCGGCGGGCGCGAGGGGGCGGGGCCCGCGAACATGGCGAAGACGTACGATTACCTCTTCAAGCTGCTGCTCATCGGCGACTCGGGCGTGGGCAAGACCTGCGCGCTCTTCCGCTTCTCCGAGGACGCCTTCAACGCCACCTTCATCTCCACCATCGGTGAGCGCCCGCGGGGCTCGGCGCTCCCGGCCCGGCCGCCCGCGCTCCGTGAGGCCGTTACCGGTTTGCTCCGCCGGGCAGCGGCGGGGGAGGGCGCTCGGCCCCCCCCCGGGGCTCCTCCGCCCGTGACCTGGTGCCTTCTTTTTGCAGGTATTGACTTTAAAATCAGAACCATCGAGCTGGACGGCAAGAGGATTAAGCTGCAGATATGGTAGGAGCCGTGTCCGGGTCGGTGCGCGGGGGCCACGTTCCTGCGAAGTTTTGGTTGCGTTTGTGCTCTTTGGGAGCTCTTAGAACCCCAAAGACAGCTCCAGTGCCCCCAGTGACTCCAGCGGTTGGTGACTGTGGCCGCTGTGTGCCGGTGGTTTGCGTGACCCCCGTGTTCTCTCTGGTGCAGGGACACCGCCGGGCAGGAGCGATTCCGAACCATCACAACCGCCTACTACCGGGGAGCCATGGTAGGAGCGTGGGGACGGGTTCTGTATTCACCCCTGTGCCGGTGCTGGGGCAGGGCCCCTCCATGAGCACGCGTCCCGGGCACCTTCTGTGGCCGAGCAGCCGCGGTTGTGTTACGTGGAACCGTGACCCAAGGGTTTCCACAGGAGCTGTTGTTCAGTGGCTCCTTTGTGCTGTGAAAGGGGAGCTTTAACTCGTGTTCAAAGGAACACCCGCTGAAGCTGCCTCCTTCTAATCTTTAGGGCATTATGTTAGTCTACGACATCACCAATGAGAAATCGTTTGAGAACATTCGGAACTGGGTCAGGAATATTGAAGAGGTAATTTCTGTTTCCTCACTGAATGTTAAATTTGGTGTTTCTGCCTCCGAAAGTGGTTGGAGCTTTATTGCTTCAGATGGGTTGAGCTTCTTTTGAATAGTGACTCCTGGAATGTCATGGTGAACAGTAACTGAGGGGTGGATGAGGGACCCGAGGGGTGATGTGTTCCTGCTGCTGCAAGTGGTCTGGGAGTGGTTGTGATGCAGGACACCCACTGGGACATGGGCTGTAGGAACCTGTAAATCCCTGGGAGGTGCTGAGCACCCGCACCTCCAGGGCAGGGCCTCTGTGTGTGCCTGGGCTCCCAGGGCAAAGCCTGTGGTGTGTTTGTGTCTCAGCACGCCTCTCCCGATGTCGAGAAGATGATCCTGGGGAACAAATGTGATGCCAATGACAAGAGACAAGTGTCCAGGGAGCAAGGGGAGAAGGTGAGTGCTGCAGCATCACCGCCTCGCAGCGCGGGCCGGTCCGGGGGTGGAAGCAGCCGTCGGTGTCGGGCCTGGGGCAGTGTTTCCAGGTGGAGCTATCGAGCGTTCCCCAAGCTGCAGCTGCAGTGCCTTGTCCTGCTCTGATAAAAGCTGGGTCTGTGGGAAGGGTTCGTGTCCATTCTGTGCTCATCATGTGCCAGGCAACGGCCTGGAGGTTTCCTGAGCCAAAAGGAAGAAAAGGTTTGCTGGAGGTGGGCATTGAGGAAAGGTCTCTCCTTGGCTGAAAGCTGCTGAGATGAGGAGGCCGGGTTGTCTTTGCAGCATCAGGTTGAGGTCGAGATGGTACATTTGCACGCTGCAGATGCTACAAGACTGACAAGGTGTCCATGTGAGAGCAAATACACCAGAGAAAGGAGCAGATTAGAGTGTAAAGCAGCCAAACAGAGCCAGTGGGAACCGATGCTATCAGGAAGGAGATTCAGTTCCCAATATTTGCAGCTTGTTCTGCTTGAGTAAATCCCCCCATTCCCATGAATCACACTGGGGGGGGGGGGTTGGAGTTGTTCCTGTTCTCACCTGCAACCGGTTTGTGTGCAGCTCGCTGCCAGCTTCGGGATTAAGTTCATGGAGACCAGTGCAAAGGCGAATATAAACATAGAGAACGTGAGTACCGGGACCCCCCTTGCACACCCCTTGGCTTCTGCAGACAGGGGGTGGGAGCACTCGGTGCTGTGTGGGACTGTGAAATGTCCTGTGAAGACCTTGGTTGCCTAACATTGTGCTCCTTTATTTAATGTGGGACGTGCCACAGGGGGCTGAGAGCAAAGTGAGAACCTTGGCTCGCGTCTTTACATCACTGCTGTCATTGATAAAGGGCAACGCTTTCCTGCTCCATAAACGTGGGCCTGCAGGTGTTTCCTGTGCAGGGTTTTGGGCTCAGAAGGGAGGTTTGGAGTTGGAAAAGGAGCATTAAAAACCCAGAGGAGGGGGAGAAAGCTGAGAACTTGGCTCTTCAGGAGCTTGGTGTACATAGAAGCTTGGGAATGCAGCTCATTGCTAAGCAGAAGTGTTCCTGAGTACATCTTATTTGCCATGTAACACCCAACTGTTGCGCTCGCTGCAGGCATTTTTCACTCTGGCAAGAGATATCAAAGCGAAAATGGACAAGAAGTTGGTGAGTAACTTTTATTTCATCCACATTGTATTTCAATGGGAAACAACCCCAAAGCCAAAGAGTGCGGAGGAAATATTTTGTGGTGTTTTTACATGGGGAGTGCACCAAATGTTAGAGGAATTAGTTCTTAGTTTTGCGAAGCCAGGCTCTGACCTTGGCTTACCACCAACTGTCTGTGCAGTGCAGGAGGTGGGTGCAATGGGGGAGGTTCTGTGTTCTCTTGAAGGGGAGGGCTGTAGGTTTGGGTGTTGTTGTAGATTCCTACGTGTTTGAGCATTGACTGGGGGCTTTTTATCCTGGCTGCCTCTGAGCCCATGGAAGGCAGGAGAATGGGGGCAGCGGGTGCTAGAGCTGGAGGCAGCGGCTGCAGTTCTCTGATGGATAAGTAACAAAATACTCTTTGTGTCTCCAGGAAGGCAACAGCCCCCAGGGCAGCAACCAGGGCGTCAAAATCACCCCGGAGCAGCAAAAGAAAAGCAGCTTTTTCCGATGTGTTCTTCTGTGAGGGACACGGCCTTACCCCGAGCGGCTGCTCCCTGAGCTGGACTCTGCCTGTTGCGAGCGGGCTTTCCTGTGGCTGTGGACTTTGCATTCTCAACCCTGTCACGTCGTGACCGTACGAGTAAGGAATTGCTTCTTTTAGGAATTGTCTGACTCTTCAAGTTTGGAGATGAACCAAGTTTATTTCAGTGAGATTGCCCCGGGGCGTGTTGTCTAGCAGAGGGAGTGCAGAGCACCTGGGACCTGTGCTACAGCACCTTTGCTGGCAGGCTTCTACCTTCTGGTTTGTATCTGTGATATATCCAATGTGGACAGATGAAGTTACAACCAAAACAAGAAATGGAAACGCCAGTACTAGTGAAGTACGGGTATGTGTAGGTGAGACGTGTGTGTAGCCACGTCTAGAGGTGCGTATAGAGCTGTTGCTTCAAAACAGCAAAGAATTGTGCTGTTGTGAGCAGTAGAGGCTTGTACCTTCTTGGAAGGTAGAAGGAAGCTTTCTGGATCTCTGCCTCTTGGCTGCTATAGAGAAAACCCCTTTATCTGCCTGTTACAGTTGTGTCACTGTGGACAATCTACAAGTACTTTTGAAGTTAAAAAATAACCCTCCTCAAAAGAATCTCTTATTTTTTTAAGAAACCAAAGTGTGCTGTAAATGGAATGGTTCCTTCCCGGCAGGAATTATCTTCTCCTTGTTAGACGTGACTGCTTTATTAAGTACTCCAGATGTTCAGACATGTTTCAGAGGAGATGATGGCTAGAGCAAGTCCCGTGCAAATGGTCTGTGGTCTGTTCTTAGAGAAACAGGCCTTGGTTCGGGCAGGGACACTCAAGCATTCTGGCTTCTACTTCTCCACTTGAGCAACTCCAGATCTGTCGTGATGTAATAGCTCAGTTTGTATCGTGACAAGAACATGTTTTGCACTGCTTCTAGTGGTGTGGCCTCACACACACTTTGCTCACGTATGCAAAGGAATGTTGCACATACAAACACTGTCTGCAAACCAACTGTGGGAAGCTGAGATTTGCCTGGCTGCTGACCTGGATTTCAGGCAGCAGCAAAGCTGTCACTGGTGAGCAGCAGTGCAGACGGTGTTAGTCCTCAGTGGAAATAGTCTATGTATTTATTCCGATATACACAGTCTAGTACATTCCAATGTGTAAAATGTAACAGCCAAGTAAAGCTCCTCCATCGCTCATTACTGTCAGTTCAGAGGCTGTAAGCCTGACTTCATTAGGCTGACATAAGGAGCCAGGAAGAGCCATCTCCTTCAAAGTCTGCTGTGGAGTGATTGCAGTTACGGTGTATTGAATTCAAACAACCGTATCAGCTGTGTCCTGCAACTCACTGGAATTGTTAACATGCTTTGTTTACATTGACAACTGCACTTCAAGGGTAAAATTAAAGCTGATTTTAAAGTTCATGAATTTACTCACCAGTTTTGTTTTCTTCAAGCTTGTGGTATTACAGCCTGGCCTCAAAGGAGCACTCCTGAGTATTGCTGTAGTTAATGATCTGTCGGATTCAGACTGAAACTAGGAGTCCGCAGCATGCAACTGGGCTCAACAGGAGCATTGCCTGTTGTTCTAGAATAGAAAAGGAAGTTTTCCTGCAGAAGTTACTGGTTTATAAAAATGCATTTTCTGTGCTACCATTTTGTTATTTTATGTTTAAATAGCAGATTACAGTGAGCTCTGTTCGTGATTAAAATCATACATAGAGCTTCCCTCTAACCAGAACCTTATGATGCTGGGTTTCTTTTTTTGCTTGCTTGTGGCTTTTTAGTGTGAGGACTTGGTGACTGTGCACCATAGGGGATGTACACGCTGGTGTATCTGTAGGATAAATCACTTTAAGCTACTGAAGAGCCTTCTAGTCAGTACGTGCTTCAAAGCGTCATTAATGCAGAGCTATAGATGGGGCAAGCAACACTTTGATCTTGAGATGAGGATGCTTTTAAAGAAACGCTGTGCATGCTTCTAGAAATGACTGAGGCAGAGGTGGGGAGGTGATTAAGGCATGGGCTGAATGTTGTTTTCCTGCACAAAACTCATCTGTTCAATGATTTCTTTCTGGCTTGGTAGTAAATGTGGATTGTCTCACATCCATCCTTCTACTTCAGTAGAGCCAGGTGCTGCAGCCAGACTTTTTCAAAGGGATTGGAAAAACAAGTGGTTGGTCTGACTTGCTACCATGGGCTGTCCCCCCCGATGCTGCCTGGTGGCAGTATCTAAACTGATAACTCACCTTGCAGTGAGAAAGCAAACTATGTTCATTTCCAAGTGGCTAAAACTTGAAGGATGGGATTGTGGTTTTCACTCCTCATTTTCTGAATCTGAAGTTACTCTTTTCATTCAAAATGAATTCTGTATGTGAATACCTTTTGTTTCAGCCTGTGCTGGTTGTTGCACATGTTTACATACCTAATTTATAGCGTGCTTTCCTTTTATGACATGATTTGGTTTATTCCAGCTACATTATTGCCCAAACTCAGGAAGTTTCATAGTTACTGTGATTACAGTCCTCACTGTTACTTCTGGGGTCTACAGGCTCTACACCGATATTAAATCAGAGCAAGCAATATGAAACATAAAATGCAAATGTAAGACAGTAAAAGGTTGAAGACACTGCAATTGTACATACACTTGACTGCATGCTGCTAAACCTGGACATCAAATCCTGGAGAAGGACAATATGTTGTTGATGTTTCCATCACGTAATTAAATTACTGTGGTTTTTAAGTATGAGTGTTCTGGAAGACACGAGGATGGAAAGAGGTACTGTGTAAATACCTCCAGTAACATGTTTGTATCTGAGCTTTCTTTCAGGAAGAAAACTTTTTCAATCAGATACAGAATTTGTATAACTGAGGAATTTAAGTGGATCTGAAAAACTAACTCTGCTTCCTACACATTCTCAGTGTCTAAATGCCACTAAAATTTCAGGGAATGGAGTAACACTCGGTTTGTAGGAAAACAAACTCATTTTTGAGCATGTTCTCAAACTCCCTTACTTTAATGAGGATCACAGAATTCTGTGGCTGACCTTATTTTTGAGGCTGGTTGCAACATTTCAGATAGTCTTCACCCCCTTTGGGTGTGGGCCTGTCAGGAGCTCGTCTGTCAATAAAAAGGGGAACTGCAGTCTGAACACTGCCATTTAAACACTTGCGTTGTCTTGGTCCTGTACCGATGGGCACACCTCATATTCCTTGACATCAGAGCCTTATGCCAGCATCAGACCTTCAGCCTCAGATTTATAAATCCTATGGATTATTGTAAGTCTCTTTACTGCTGCTGAAACTTATTTGGTGTCTCCCTTCATGTGAGATGCTGTTCATCTCGCTGACAATTGTTAGGGGATGATGATTGTAGTGGTGGTGTCTTTGGCTTGATGATCATGCTCAAAATCTACCATGATTTCTCATTCTTTTGGACTTGAACTGGCTGATGTCTGTGCTGGAGAGGAATGGACAAACAGCTGCGTTGAGGACGGTCTCCATTACTGCCAGAAGCTCAGAGGGGTTGGGAAGGAATGAGACTAACTTCTTTCTTCATTTCTAGATTAACTAAGGAGCTGTTCAATTGAACATTGGTGGTAACGTGCAGTCTGATTATTTCAGGCTGCCTTATTCTTTGACCCATCTCTTCCAGTGATCGTTGGAGATCTTGTTTCTGTAGTCAATGAAAGTTTTGGGGGCTGGGCTCTCCAGCCCTTCTGCAGGATGCTCTACATGGGGCAGGAGTTGGGACTTAGGGCTTTGCTTTGAAGGGAACTTAATGCATCCCAGAATTTTGTAAAACAACTGTAAATTGTGTTTTTTAGAATGACCACTTTTGGCTGCCACCCTTCCCACATGGCAACTGCTTTCTGAAACACTTCTCCTTGATTTCCATGTTTGTATGAAAACCAAACCTGTTGTTTATTACAGGATGTATGTTTTTACTCTGTTGTACAGGACCCTGAGCACTGCATAAATAAACTTCTTTATGAAAAGAGAATTTTACCAACTTAGTTTCAGTCCCATTCATCACTCGTGCATGCAGGTTTTTGTATGGGAAGTAGGATATTTCTAGGAACAGAAAGGAGGGACAGGAACCTGGGGGAGGCTCTCTTGTCCTTGGAAATATTTTCACTTCTCATTATAAATTGGGAAGTAGAAAGCTCTTCTCTGTATAGTTTGATACAAGTTCCTTTATTACCTGGTGGTATCTGAACTTGAAAAACCTATTTCTCATGTCTCTGTCTAGGTCAGATTTGCTTTAGCTGGGGGGAAGGAGGAGGAATAAAGTTTTTGTTACATTGCAAGGAAAATAGACATTTTGATAAATGACAGAGAAATCATGATGAAAAGCTTAATGAATTGCTCCTTCTAAAGAGGTAAAAGAGATAGAGTTCTCTGACTGGTTCGGTTACCAGAAGTCCTCTCTGCTCCCATTCTTTTGCTCCCTCATGGACGGTAATCTCAGTAACAGTTGTTGAAGGTTCAGGAAATGCTTGCCTCCACGTGTTTCACTAGATTCAAATTCGAATGTGAAATGTGCTATTAAAGAAAGAGGAAGTAATGATCACTTATGTTTCGATCAATTAAAAGGGTTCACTACAATTAATTCTATAAATTGGAAACCTTGTACATTGAAGAAATGCAATATTTGAGTGCTGCTTTGTGCAAGATGTGTGTCAGAAACCACTAAGGCTCTGTTGGGCATCATCTCGTATACTTCTCAATGGAGCCTAAGAGCTAATACATTTTAAGTTGAGGACTTAAATGTCCAAAATATATCTGAGGTTCCAAAAGCAACTCAAGAAGCCTCCCTGCTTTCTCAAGCATCTGTTTTTCCCAGTGGACAGCTCTACTGCTATTGTCAGGGATCTGCAATGGCTGAGGAGACATAAAACACACACTACAGAGACTCTGACAAAAAAATAAGATCAATCTTGTGTTAGAAATGCAAAGCAGATCTTACCTAAGGAAATCTGGAGCCCGTATTATCATATGCTGGAAGTCTTCCAGAGACAGCTTGCCATCGTTGTCCACGTCAGCTTCGTAAATCACCTTTTCACATACAAGGCTCACTTCTTCTGGGGTAAGTTCATTTCGGGTTAATTTGTTGACTGTTTTCTCCAGATCAGATTTGCATATGTAGTCATCGTTGTTAAAATCTGGCAAAGGAAACAAAAGGAATTCAAAGTGACAAAACTCAGCCCTTTGACGTGGTCGACTGCCAAGACCTAACAGGAAAGGTTTGGTTCCCAGGGCATGATGAGGAGAAATTTCAGGTCAAAAATACTTATCTGTGCTTGCTTGTATAAAAATGAAACAAAATTAAAAATCCTGGAATAATTCCCCCCGTCATACTTAAGGGGAACAGTTGTGAATAGTTTAATGGCTAAACATAGCCTAGCCATCATCAAATTGCTCTAATAAAGCACTACTACTGAACTAAAAGCAAGAACTAGTTAAGTCAAAGGAAGAGAATAAGCTGTGCAGTTTTGGAGGGGCTTTACTTCTGTACGACCTTGGCTGAATCGTGCACAGTTTAAATGGTGAGAAAAAGCTGTTGGTTGGTTGATGTATTTTTTGGCTTTAGCTGATCATAAGGAAAGTAACTGTAAAAAGAAAAACAACCTTTAAATTTGTCCTTGGAGCAAGATGCTGGAAGCGTGCTCCCCGCACCAAAACCACCCAACAAATTATTTATGGGCAGCCAGATTCCTTGTGCTGTGCTTTTCCAAGCAGTCCCTCAGACACAAGTATTTCTTACATGTTTATCAGCTCTTGAAAGCTGCAGATAATTTCAGGTTGTAAATTTTGGAGTAAACCCTAACCCCAGATAAAGAAGAGACAAAAGGGTAAAGACGACCAGAAGTTTTTAGGAGAGGGAAGAGATTCAAATGCAATGAAATGAAAGGCTGTATTAAAACATGTCTAACTAGCATTGTTATGGTGACAAAATGAATTATTTTGCATCCCTACACGAAGCTGCAGGGTTTCCCCAATGTTGACTTTTTAATGCATGCCTCACTCACCATAAATTTTAAAAGCATAATAAGCTTTCAAGTCCCTGGGAGCCATTTCACTCAGCACTGAAAACATGTCCAAAAAATCATCTAAAGTCATGTTGCCATCTCCACCCTCTGAGAAAACCTCTGCTATCCGCTGGCGGAACGGGTTGTCCTGGGAAACAGAACACAGGAGCAGGGGAAGGTCATCTTTACCAGCATTTATTTCACTGCAGATAAAACAATTGGAGCGAGATTATTTTTGCTGTAACCTCTTTTTGGCAAGTGCTCCCTTTTCTGCTGTTCTGTTCTTGTCTGAAGTATCAGAGGTAGACAGAGCTGCAGCCCTCTTTAACCTTTATGCCATTTCAGAGTGTTTTCGGGAATCACTAGAAGCTTCCAGAAAGCCTTTTTGACTTCAATAGCCAAAATTTCTTTGTATTTCATCCTCCCAGCAATTAGTAGTGGATAAATTATTCAAACAGGGTTAGATTAAACCGAAATGTGTCACTCGATTCCAGTTGTGTACCTTCAGCTCTGGCATGCTGCCAATGAGTTCATAGGGAAGTGTCACGTCTGGTTTATGTGTGTAGTCGAGTGGAACTAGCTGTGGGGCTAGATCTCGGTATCTGTAAAACAGTCTGCAACAGAAAGAAAGATTTGTTTAGGGAACAATTTGGTAGATCTCCAAGAGCAACGTGTCTTTTCCGGGACTGCCTTTTCCATCTCACTCCTCACACTTTGCATGCTTTACCAGATCAGTATCAGTGGCTAAATAACATTTAGTGTGCTCTGTAGTTGTTGGTGGAAGGGAGTATTAAAAAGAACATCATCTTCAACTGGTGAAAACGCAAAGCCTTTCATGTTCACGGAACAATCAGGTGAAAATGCTCACCCAGGTCAGGCAGCCAAACCTCTAGATACCATGTATCTGAAACCAGAATTTCACAGTTTCGGATGTATTTCTGCTTTATGACTGGGTGTAGTTAGATGTCTGTGCTTATGAGAGCAAGGCGCAAGACCTTCCACGTGCAGGTCCACCTAATCAGTTTCCAAACTGAGAAATGCTTGTGGCAAGGCAAAAGGGATTAGTTTTCCGAGTCCACAGTGAATGTGACCAAAAATAATGGGCTTAAACTGGAGCATGAAAGATTCAGTTTAAATAGCAGAATAAAACCCTGAACGCCTAAAGCCATGGGCAGGAAGAGATATCTGGAACTAACTCTAGCAGGATTCTATCCACCCTGAGTATCTTCCTGTTTTTCATAGAACTCAGGGTTAAAAGACAGAAAATGTGTGTAAGGGTATTAATTTATCCAACACTTTCAGGATGCTGTTTCTTTTAGTTCTCGTGCTAGAGTAAGGAGTAAGCTGTTGGTAACACCCGTTACCAACAAAGCAACAGGGCAGAACCTTAAAAAGGATCCTTATCAATAATAAATATGACACAGTTATGGCTCTGGCATCTATTTACGGTGTGGAAAGATGACAGGTTTAGGTTTCAGTTATTACAGAACCAGTCATATTTTATCCTGTCTAGAATTCATACACAGATGTGTGCAGGTTCTAAAGAGGGGCATGCTCTGGACAAGGTTGTTACCTTCAGCTGAATTAGCAAAAACTCTGTGGTGGCATCTTGAGAGATGCAGAACCTGAACACTTCCTTTTCTGCTGGCACACCAAATGGTTAAGAATGGCAAATGCAACTTCAGTAGTGTGGATGTTACTACCTGAGTAAGGATTTTAATGAGAGGAGAACAAGTTCAGGTTTTCAGTGAAGATTCTCAGTCTTACATGAGCAGAATACCGAGCCTGTCTTTATCAGATCCTTTGGCTAGAGATTAAATGGAGTGCTTGATGGGGTGACTGAAGGCTTTGGGGAAAAATGCATCTTAGATCAGTATAATTATTTATAAGAAGACATGATGAAAATTTGACACGATCATTAAGGTTTTCATAAACCAGGCGAAGTATTATAAAGAATAACAGTACACTTGGAAGCATCTGTCATAAAACAAGGTGAAAGGAATGTGGATGTCCCTGGAAAAGGAGGCACTGATAGAACCCTTAACATCTACCTCTGTTAACTAGAGAGAGACTGGTACCTTAATACAAAATTCAGAATTCTGGCTCAGTTTGTGATGAATACCAGAGGGCTTGTACACAAAAAGGCAACAAAAATGCTCTGGCTTCCCAAAGGTATCACTCTGAATTTGTGTAAATCCATTTTCAAATTATTTCTAAATATTTCACCCTATACATAACTCGTTTTTATAGCAATCTCTGTCTTTTACCTACAAAATGCATATAGAAAACTCACCTCAGTATTTCTTTCCTTGTAAAGAATGTGCAGTCCTGTGAAATAAGAAAAGATATAACATGTAATGCCAGTATTTAGCATGCACTGACCCAAACTTTTCCCATATAGCAGCTTAAATGGAGTTACACTGCAATATATGTGACCAAGCATTAAAGTTCTTTCTTTTTGGCACATAATTAGGAGTATTTTATAACTCTTCTTCTAGGTGTAAGAATCAAACTATGTCAGTAAAATCTTTGCTGTAGTTTAGTACTCCTAATTCATAGTTTTTAAGAGAGATTGTTTAAAAGAACAATTATTTGCCATTATTCAACGTTCTGTCCAAACAGCCATTTAGTTTGTTTTGTACCTGGTACGCATCCAGTTGCTCTTGAGTGAAAACAGTTTGCTTGTTGCCCATTTCTAGCTCTGAATGCTAATTCTGATCCCATCATTCTTTCCTCAGGGGCACCTTTATAGGCGGGCTGGATATTCAGTTATTAAAAGCTGCAACAATGAGGTTCAGGTATAGCAGAGGATCAAGTAACCAGCTTCCCTATTCCGCAGGCTGTAAAGTATCATAATAGGAGCATTTCATCAAATCTTTAGTCCCAAGGCTCTTATCCAGCATCACTCACCTGTCTCCGGTGTGCACAGTGGGGACTCATGTTACAGTATTTACCCAAACAAGTAATAGCAGCTGGTTTGTGTCTTTGAAGCAGCAGGAAGACTTCATGGGGCATGCTTTTTCATTCCTTCACCTATGGTAAAGTAACTGCAAAGCATCAGTGGTGTCTGTCTGCTTTAAGAATTAACACCAAATATGAGGAATTCATAACAGTGATGGTAACCCTTTCCTTCTTACTGTAACATCCTTCTCACTGTTCCCTGTAATACACATTATGCACTAATAGACAGTAGTTTGTGCTGGAGGTAGTATCTATGAAGTCCAGCCCCTTTATTCTGCATTATCTGCTGATATACATTACCACCAGTTAATGATTATTAGCGTGACATGCATACGTATATAGTGCATATACATGTATACAGAGTTCACACATGTGAACAGACACACAATGTTACAGGCTGTATCGAATATGAAAAACAAGGGATGGAGGAAGAGGAGGCTGCACAACCACAGCCTTTATCTATTGATCACCTTCATTTCTCAGGCACTGCTACTGTGCCTGGTGTCCTGCTCCCCTCAGTGAAGGAAGGGGCCTCACGCATCAGTGTGCCTTCAGATAGAGTCATGAAATCATGGAATGGTTTGGGTTGAAGGGGCCATAAAGCTCCTCCAGCTCCAACCCCTGCCAGGGCAGGGACCCCTTCCACTGGAGCAGCTTGCTCCAAGCCCCTGTGTCCAACCTGGCCTTGAGCACTGCCAGGGATGGGGCAGCCACAGCTTCTCTGGGCACCCTGTGCCAGCGCCTCAGCACCCTCACAGGGAAGAGCTTCGGCCTTACATCTAGCCTTAATCTCCTCTGTGTCAGTTTGAACCCATCACCCCCGGCCTATTGCTACGGTCCCTGATGTAGAGCCCCTCTCCAGAATCCTTGTAGCCCCCTTTCAGACACTGGGAGCTGCTCCGAGGTCTCCACGCAGTTTTTCTTCTCCAGGCTGCACAGCCCCAGTAAAACCCACCAAAACCCATTGGGAATGGCGCTGTTCGGATTGACACAGCGTGTGGGGCCGGGCTCATCCCGGCGCATTCCGGAGCTCCGCTCTCTCCCCTCAGAGCGGCCCCGGCCGGGAAGGGGGGGAACAGGACGGGACAGGACCGGACACGCCGTTGCCGTGGTAACGACGCCGCCCGCCAGGGGGCGCCGTGGCGCGGCGGAAGAGCAATGGCGGACTACGAGGCGGTGCAGCGAGGGCCGCTGCGGCTGAAGGGCAGCGGAGCGGGGCTGGGGGCCGGCAAGCGGTGAGTAACGGGGGGGAAACGGGGCTGGGGGGCACCGGGTGGGCAGCCTAGGTTGTGCCCTGACCGCTCTCCGCCCGCAGGAAGAAGAAGAAGGCAAAGGACAAGGCCCAGATCCTGGAGCAGATCGTGAGCAGCAAGAAGCAGGAGGAGGAGAAGAAGCGCGGCCTGGACAAGCGCACCCCGGCGCAGGTGGCCTACGAGAAGATGCAGGAGAAGCGGGTAAAAAAGGGTTTAAAACCCCCAGCTGGAGCCCTCAGAGGCCACCCCTGAGGGGCTGTGGGTAACTGGGCTCTCTTCTGTCTACAGCAAATGGAGAGGATCCTGAAGAAAGCATCCAAAACCCATAAGCAGAGAGTGGAGGTGAGCTGAATTACCCTGATTCACTCAGGCTGCTGTGGCTTGGTGGGCGGGGGGATCTGTTTTGCTTCCACGAAACATGGAAGTGGGGCCTTGTGGTGATGTCAGCACCAGATATTCAACATTCTCTTCCTCTTTCTCTCCCCTTAGGACTTCAACAGGCACTTGGATACTCTGACTGAGCACTACGACATTCCCAAAGTCAGCTGGACAAAGTGAACGGGCTGCTTTTCAAGGCTTTGGACCAGGGGGTGTGTTTTGTTGGTGTTAAGCAGGGTTGCCATGTGAATGTGTGTAATTTCCACACTGACTGGTTTATCTGTCTCCTGAATTTTGATGGATTTCTACTTTTATTTGCTTTGTTTGGGTTTTGAATCCGAATGTTTAACAAAGTCCCTCTTTTCTGACGAGCACTGATTTATGAAGGTGCAGAGGGTTTGGGGGTTTTTAGTGCTTACAACAACATTAAGGCCACAATCGATTGCTGTTAGCCAGCTGCAAAGGGTTCCTTTATTTATTTGATATAGTTCTTTTGAGACATCCGGAGCCTGGCAGCCTCTTATAGCGTAAGTTTCTCTTGCAAGAGAGAGGAATTGTATAGTTTCTTTCCATCTAGAAGCAGAGGGTCTGCTGTAATGTGTAACATCAATGTCACTATTAAAGTGCCGCTTTCATCCTTTTATTGGTGCCGATTTACCTATAAATGGGGGGAAGAATTTGTGCGTGGAGTTTCTGTAGTGCCTTTCTTGTCTTTATAACTCGTACTGCCTTTAAGAGATGACATATACCATGTACCTCAATTAAAACCCCAACATGCCTCTTAAACCACAATATTGCTCTTGACTGTGAACACGATCCGTCTGCTCTTGCTGCCCGGAGTCCCACCTCAGCCTGGACAAACCTTCCCCTCTTAATCCCGATGCCGCTTTCACCACCATGGTGGGTTGGGGGGGGGGGAAGACCCCGGACTATTTAGCATAGGGGCTCGGTTGCCAACGTGTTCTTCCGCGATGTCCTGCGCATGCTCCTCCTCGCAGCAGCCGGATCTCGTTGCGCCGCTTCCTCCCGGAAGCGGAAGTCGGAGCGTGTGCGGCCCGGGCGACACGGCGGCCCGGGCGGGCGGCGGGGCGGCGATGTCGGCCAGCGCTGTCTACGTGCTGGACCTGAAGGGGAAGGTGAGGCCCGGCCGCGGCTCTGCGGGGCTGGAGGCAGAGGAGCGGCGTCCCTCGCCCCAGCGGGGGTGCTGAGGGGTCCGGAGGATGCCCCGGCCTCGCTGGGGGCTGCGGGAGCCGCGCTCCCCTCTCCGGCACCTCCTTGCTTCTTGTGGCAGTGTGGGCCTCAGATGTAGCGGGAGAGTCGTGGCCTGTGGCTCAGCTCCAGGTGCTGAGGGAGGTGGCTGCGGAGAGCTGGGGTGCGACCTTGGGCACCTCAGGGGTAATTAATCTTTGCACTAATTGGAGGTAGTTTGTCTCAGAGGAGCTGGCTTGTTTTCCCGTCTTAAAGGCGTCTTTAGGGCTCGTGCAGCAATAGGTGAAGAACAATGAAAAACATTAATGCAGTGAAAGGTTAAGTAGTCACGTTCTGATCAATGTTTTAGCGTTGTAGTTTGCGTTTGTACAGTGGCTGGAGTGACATTAAAGTTACTTAATGAGGCCTTCCAAATACCTTGTGCATTGGCCTCGCATGGTAATATCATCTCATGAAAGAGAAAAGAAAGATGAGTTTGTCGCTCTCTTCATAGGTTCTTATCTGTCGGAATTACCGCGGAGATGTGGACATGTCAGAGGTGGAGCATTTTATGCCAATCCTTATGGAAAAGGAAGAAGAGGGGACACTTTCTCCCATTCTAGCACATGGAGGAGTTCGTTTTATGTGGATTAAACATAACAACTTGTATCGTATCCTTTATACTGCAGATAACTCCTGTATGCTGAGATACAGAGGGCTGCTGCAATATTTGTGTTGTTTTGTGTCTAAATGCAAAGCTGGAGAATGGGTGAAGGATATGAATGAAGAAGAATAAGAAGGCTTTATTAAATAAAGTTGGTTTATGCTTTGCATAGTGCAATGTGCACCAGCAGCACAGGGTGCAGAAGAGGGTTTATATGAATTCTACTCTTTCCCAAAAGTTTATCGTCGTTTCTTTCCTAAAGGCATTTATTAAACTTTTGTTTTGAGTGGTGACTTTGAATGCATTTTCCTGAGCATCCTTTACCAGTTGTTGCAACCTCTAAGAAAAATGCTTGTGTGTCACTGGTGTTTTCATTTTTATATAAAGTAGTTCAGGTGAGTATGAAATCTCCAATGTCACCTCTGGCTTCTTTTCAGTTCAGTCTAAATCTAATCTAAATATAAATGCATAGAGCTTCCCCATGGATAAAGAGCTCTATGGTAATAGCATTTTTTACTTTATATTTGGTTATTTTGTAGAACTATCTTCCTGTAGTAATGGAATTGGTATTTTGTAACTGAGTAGGCAAAGGATGTGACCCAATGCTGTAAGTAGTTGTACAAGGCCTGAGAACATGGTGAACTTGGTGCATGAGTAGTGGCATATTGTGTAGTTCCTACGGTTGGTTCATCTGTACCTGGTGTGAAAAAGATTTTCTTCAGAATAATTATTTTTCACAGTAGTTAGAGTTGCTTTTAGGATTCTCTTAACTCTTTTAACAGAGGTGGATTTCTTGAGGCTAAATCTGCTGAATAGAATGCTGCTTGTGAATGAGGGCGTTTGGTTTGGGGCTTTTTAAGACTCGTCATTTTAGATACAGGAATACATTCTGAATGTGCTGTACTTCCCTCAGTTAACATCCTCCTCCCTCCCCTCCCTCCTGTCCTTTTGTTTCAGGTTTTTTCTGAATATTTCAAGGAGTTGGAAGAAGAGAGCATTAGGGACAATTTTGTTATTATTTATGAGTTGTTAGATGAGCTTATGGATTTTGGTTACCCACAAACCACTGATAGTAAAATTTTACAAGAGTAAGTATCATTCTGTGTCACTTACAGTGGCAGACTTCTTGGAAAGTTTTGAGCATCCTTCTATATGCAAACAAATGCTTTGCTTTGGTCTAGGTAGCAAAAGAATTAATGTTCCTTTTCTTCATACCAATTATGTGTAAAGGTACATCACTCAGGAAGGCCACAAACTTGAAACTGGAGCTCCGCGTCCACCTGCAACTGTTACCAATGCTGTATCATGGAGATCAGAAGGGATAAAATACAGGAAAAATGAGGTGTTCCTGGATGTTATAGAGTCTGTTAACCTTTTGGTGGGTACCTTTTATTGTAACTTTGAATGAAAATTGTAATGGAAAGTGGTGAAAGTGCTTTACTGTCTGAAAACCTGCAGGTTGCAATAAAAAATCAGGTTGAATGTGGCTAGTGGCCTGTGCTGGTCAAAACAACGTCAGTTATTGAGACTCAAGTACCCATAAGGACATTCAGTAGACAAAAAATGCTTTACTTATATGCATTATAGAATCATAGAATGGTTTGGGTTGGGCAGGACCTTAAGATCATCCATGGGCAGCGTCTCCTCCCTCCAGACCATCTCACTCAAGGCTCTGTCCAACCTGGCCTTGAACACTGCCAGGGATGGAGCATTCACCACTTCTCTGGGCAACCTCTGCCAGTGTCTCACCACCCTCACAGTAAAGAATTTCTTCCTTGTATCTAACCTGAATTGCTGATTTCTGATCTGTGCTTTCCTTCTCTGTCTGTGCCCATCACCTCCCTGATCTAATCTGCTGGATTAATTTCTCAGGAGAAAGACATCCTAGAAGACTTGGGACATGGGGATGGGGTGGGAGTGCTTGATGTTATAATGTATCCCGTCAGAGCAGTCTTACTTTTCTTTTTGTTTTGCTCCAGGTCAGTGCCAATGGAAACGTATTACGGAGTGAGATAGTTGGATCCATTAAAATGCGAGTCTTCCTCTCGGGAATGCCAGAACTGCGCCTGGGTTTAAATGACAAAGTTCTCTTCGATAATACAGGCCGTGAGTATTTCAGTGAAACCTCAATAATCGTGAAAGATGCTGTCTGAAGTCAGCTGATGTCCAGCTGAAAGGATTTAGTCAGAGATGATAGAAATACACCCTTTTTCAGTGTAGAAAACCACATGGGGTCTTGTGTGACACTATTGGGCAAAGAGGGAGTACCATGGTAATGTGGTAACCACCTAGATTTCTTTACCCGTTTTTCATTGGGACTTCTGTAGTCCTAAAAAGCTCTAGCAAGCTAATGAACATACTGGCTAAAAGGGAGGAATGTCAGCAGACAGCAGCTCTGCTGTGTGGCTGGCACTGATGAGACTTTGGACATCGGTTGTGCAGCACCTTGAAATACGTATTTATATCTAGGTGGCAAAAGTAAATCGGTAGAACTGGAAGATGTGAAGTTTCACCAGTGCGTTCGTCTCTCTCGCTTTGAGAACGACAGGACAATTTCTTTCATTCCACCCGATGGAGAGTTTGAGCTCATGTCATATCGCCTTAATACCCACGTGAGTCTGGATGTTTGCTTTTTCCATGATAACAGTTCAGATTGTAGGCAGCATTGCTAATAGCTTTCCCTTAATTATTTGTTTTCCTTAAAATCTGGGCAGCACAATTTTAAAATCAGCTATTAATGAAGCTCTGTGCTTCTCTCTTTGGAGGAAGAATGAGTTTGGACTCGTCAGTAAGCCTCTGTGTTTTCAACTACTCTTGAAACTCTTCCTGAAGTACCATTCCTGTGGTGACTTTTTCAGCTAACTGCATGATGAAATGTCAGTGTAGCAATTGACCAGTGTCCTTGGTTCAGCTGGAGCAGTCATTTTTCTCCTTTCGACTTTAGTCTGAGAACAATGCTGATAACACCCCGATGGTTTTGTCCTCAGACTAAAGTCAAGAATTTGGTCCTTGGTCCGTGGCATACCAATGCTTGCTCATTTGTATAATTGTATTTTTAATAAAACCCCAACTTAGTTATCATTACAAGCACCACAGACTGTTTTCTGTGGGGTTCACGTGTTAAGTGTACCTTTATGGGGAAACGACATTGGAATGATCATGTCAAAGGAAAACTACCGCTGTTAAATGTGTTTCTTCCCCCATTAGGTAAAACCACTGATCTGGATTGAGTCTGTGATTGAAAAACATTCCCACAGCCGCATCGAGTACATGATCAAGGTCAGCAATTCTAATCATGGCTAATTTCAGTCTTTCATTTGTTCCCAAAGCTTGACCAGCAGTTTGGGCATTTGTAACTTCATTAGTAAGCGCGTGTTACAGCTCTGTTCCTTGCTATATAGGTTGGGACAGGGGGAATTGTGTGTCTCAGCACTCACTAGCATAATGGAAATATTTAGAGGGCTGCTTTTCTGATACAGTTTTTAAATTTCTTTAGGCAAAAAGTCAATTTAAACGTAGATCAACTGCCAACAACGTGGAGATTCACATCCCAGTTCCAAACGATGCGGACTCGCCAAAGTTTAAAACCACTGTTGGAAGTGTCAAATGGGTTCCAGAGAACAGTGAAATTGTGTGGTCCATTAAGTCTTTTCCAGTAAGTGTTATTTTTAGTCTTATTGCCTGATAGTGTAGTAATTAATTAATATTAATATTTTATGCATGTTCAGACTCCGCAGATTTTAAAATCTAATAATATCTAATAGTACTGGCTTCTTCCCCTTCTCCCTTGG